TTTGTTTTTGTTTTGTTTTAGAAAGTAGGCTCCAGGCCCAATGTGGGGCTCGAACTAATGACATAGAAATTAAGAGTCACATGCTCTGGGGACTGAACCAGCCAGGCACCTCTAAAGGGCGCCTATAGAGCACACCTTTGCAATTTGATTTATAAACTCTGAAAATGAGTGGTAATTTTTACCATTCATGGTGAACAAACATACGTCACCATTTCATACATAGTTCACTTAGCCTTTAGAAAAATTGCCTTTTATTTCCTTATAATTAGACCATCTTTATTCTGCTTTCACATTTTAGAAATCAGCCATTGTTTTTCCCTCTGCGTCTGTTGTAATCATGTAAGTATGTATGGGGCGCCTGGGTGGCTCATTTGGTCGAGCACTTGACACTTGATTTAAGCTCAGGTCTCAATCCCAGGGTCGTGAATCGAGCCCCCACATGAGACTCTGCGCTGAGTGTGGAGCCTGCTTGGGATGCGCTCTCTCTCCCTCTGCCCCTTTCCCCTGCTTGCATGTTCTCTCTCTCTCTCTCAAAAAAAATTAAAAAAGAAGTATGTAAATTACTGCTACTAATTGGGATCAAGATAGATTCAGTCGCATGAATATGAGTTGACAAAAAAATTTGAAATCTGCAGGATTTAATAATATTACCCTTTGGGGAGACATTTGGTGTATCTGTTGTACATTGTATGTACTGATGTCCTATCAGACACTTTATTTGATCCCCAAATTTAAGTTAGAGTTTGGGCTGTGAACTTCCATTATTTTATTTCTTTTTTTTCTTTCTTTTTTTGTTTTTATTTATTTATTTTTTAACGTTTATTTATTTTTGAGAGAGAGAGTACGAGCTGGGAAGGGACAGAGAGAGAGGGAGACCCAGAATCCAAAGTAGGCTGAGCTGTCAGCACAGAACCTAACGCAGGGCTCGAACCCACAAACTGTGAGATCATGACCTGAGCTGAAGTCGGTCGCTTAACCGACCGAGCCACCCAGGCGCCCGTAGGGACTTTCATTATTTAGTAGTAACCCTACTGGATGATAATCATTCTAAGTGTTTCTTTTCTTTTTAGTCTTTGGAGATTGACTTTGGTTTTTGCCTATGATTTTTTCACATATACTTAGGGTTGCCATGTACAGCTCTACAGACTTTGCACAGCGTAGCTGCAGGAAGAGCCCTTCATGTAAACTGCAGTGATGGTGGTTCTGCTGGACTTGTGCAGTGGGGCAGCCAGCTGTCCCTACCTTTACTTTCTGTGGTACTGCTTAGTTTAATTGGCATTCTTGTCCAAATTGCCTTTTGATTCAATTGAGTAGTATTCGAGAAACTCTGGTAACTTCCATGAGAATTCCTTTTAAGCCTCTGTGCCATGGAATTGTGTCTGTCTGGATTGTTTTGGACTTATCCTAAGGGGAGTATATAGAGTAGTCAGTATTCAAAATTTGAAGAATATACGACTTAAGGTTTTAAAATCCCATTGATTGGGAAATAACACAGTCTTGTTAGTTTTTTTTTTTTTTTTTTTTTTTTTTTTTTTTTTTTTTTTGTCCCCAGACACCAACCTGGGTATCCTGTATGTCAGTCCTATTCTGCACTAACTACCCAAAGTTAGTGTCAAACTCCACACGTTTAAGGGCTCAGTCCCACAAGACACCTTCACTGTAGATGCCAGTACTGGGTCCCCAGGCTACCTGCACTTCTGTTCAATTTAGCCACAAATTTGGGGGTTCTCACACCCCTGTCTCAGGTTCTGTAATTTGCTAGAACTAGAACTCTGGAAAATGAAAGAGTTGCGTAGGACCAGATGTGGTGAAGGGGCACAGAGCTTCTATGTCCTCAGTGGACATGCTGCCCTCCTGGCACCTCATTGTCTTCAGTAACCTACAATTACCCTGAACCCTATCATTTAGGGGATTTCATGGAACTTTCATTACATGGGCATGATGGATTAAGTCATTAGTTATTGGTGATTGCACTCAATCTCCAGCCCCTCTCCCTTCCTGGGAGGTCCACCTTTCTGGTGACCAGGCCCCATCCAAACGCTATTTAGTAGCCCCACCACTACCAAGTCCCCTTGTTAAATAAACTCAGGTACAGTTGAAATTGTCTTATAAATAACAAAAGGTACTCCCTTCACTCAGGAATTTCCAGGGCTTTAGGAGCTCTAGGCCAGGACCAAGAACAAAGACCAAATATATTTTTTATTATACCATACTTGAATAGTACTGAATAGTTTGTAAAGATGTTAGAAAAAAAAAAAGCGCTCAACAATAGAAGATTGATTAAATAATGAAACAATACCAAATCACTGTTAAAACTGTTGTGTGTATGTAGGCACAGAAAGGAATTTGTGTAAACTGTTTTGAACTTGGTTAACATCTTCAGTTTCCAAATGCAAGAATTGGTTGGTAGCAAATAACACCAACATAAGAATTCTAGAGAGCTGCCAACACAGCACAGACAGTGTATAATTTATGAAAAAGTTGTGTTCCCAAAGTTAGCTGCTTGAAATTTTGAATATATTCTCCCTGTTAAGGAACAAAAATTCAACTGAATAAATGTGAAGGTCTAATTGGTTTTATTAAGTGATTTGTTGAATCAGGTGGCATCCCATCTAGCAAGTAGTGGGGAGCTCCAAGGAGTTGTACAAAAATTTGGAAGGGTTTTATAGGAAGAGGGTGGGGCAAGGAAGTTATTAGCAAAAGAAAAGGAAGGATTGTTCCAGGCACTGTCCCTTTTTCTCCTTTTTCTTCCGTGATGAGAAGGGCAAGGGGGTTCATGGGTTACCTCATCTTCCTTTGCGGGATGGAGAGGGCCATATGACAGATTACCTCATGTGGTGCCAATCAGAAAGTTCCTGACTGACCAGTTAAGAGTTATTTCCTAGGGGGGTTGGAACTCTGGTTAGGTTAGGTATTAAGCCCTGTTTAGTGACTTAGCTTAAGTGGCTCCATTTTGGGCCTGTGGGTTTCCTTATAACACCTCAAAGAAACAATATTGTAAGTACTCTGGGCCCTGCTCAGCCTAAAGCCAACTTAATTTTATCCTTGGAATTCTTGGATTATATGCAGCATCTACACTTAAAACAATTTTATGAATTGACTTCATTTTAAGTTCCAACTAGAGTCCAAAACAGATCTTCATTCAGTAGAATGAGGAGTTGGGAGAATAGACTGAACATAGCAAAGCATCAGATATTAAAGTCTGACTATTGGTAATTTGTTAACTAAATCTTCAGAGAAGGAGCTAGATTTGTACATCTCCCTTTGTGTCCAAGAGGATAGAATGGAAATAAGATTTCCTTCGAAAGCCAGTCACTATTCGTGGTTATCTTTTGCCCCCCTCCTTTTTTTACTCTAAAAGTAATGCATATCCATTTAGAAATAAATACCCATTTACTTAAAAGTCAACGATAATCTCAGTTTATTGTCAAGTAATGCAGAAAAAGTGTGTGCTAATATACATGCAACACAGATAAAGCACATGAGACCAAAATATTAGTAGTTTGTGAATATAGATGGTTATAAGGTTATGTTCTTTCAACTTTTCTATAAGTTTAATTTTTTTCCAAAAGAAGATGGGGATAAAAAAACTTAACAGGAATATTCCTTTATCTCCAGTCCCCAACCCTATTCACCTCTACAGAGGTAAACTGTTAGCTTGTATCTTTTCAAGCGATGAATTAAAAAATTAATTTACAAAGATATAGAAGTACAATTTTTTGCATAAATGTAATCATAGTATAAGTAGAATTATACTGCATTTACTGATATTCTGCTTGTTTCTTCTATTTAACAGGATGTATTACTTTTCTACTGCATCATAAATTACCACAAACTTAATGACTTAAAACAGTACATAGAAAGTCCTGGAGGTCAGAAATGGGTTTCACTGGGCTAAAATCAAGGAGTGCTGTGTTTCTTCAGGACACTTAGGGAAAATCGATTTTCTGGCATTCTGCAGCTTTTAGAGGTCACCTGCAGTCCTTGCCTCTTGGCCTGTTCCTCAACCTTCAAAGCATGTTGAACCTTAGCATCTTCAGATATCTTTGACTCTCTCTCTCTTTTTTCTTTTCTTTCTTTCTTTCTTTTTTTTTTTTTTGAGGGAGAGAGAAGGTGCAAATGAATGAGGGGAGGGACAGAGTGAGAGAGAGAAGCGGGACTCATCCATAGCACGGCTCGTGTTTTACCTGAAGTGGGGCTCCAGCTCACCTGATGTGGGACTTGAACTCACAAACTGTGAGATCATGACCTGAACCAAAGTCCAATATTTAACCAACTAAGCCACCCAAGTGCCCCCCAGGTCTCATGCATTTAATTCTTCCTTCTTCTCCACAAGTCTCGTTGAAATAACAAAAAGAAATAGAAACAGAGAAAATGCTGATAAACTTGGAGAATACCAGAAACCGAGGGTGTTTACTAGAAACTTTGTTACTTCTACAAGACATGGTGTTGGAGAGATTTCATTGAACTTTTCACTGACCAATTCTCAGTGTTAAAAGAAAATAACCTGAAATGTTGATTAATGCCCACTCCTCCTCCTACCAACCCCGCAGCAAAAACAAAGCTCAAAGCTACACATATTGTGAGCAAGGGAGTCAGTTGAATGGAAGCAAGCCTAGATCTTGGCTTATACTTCTCGGCTTCTTTGTTGGACCTCTTCTGCTCAATTCAGTAGGATGTTGGTTTTTCTCAGGGCTTCATGGCTTTAGTTACCATCTCTTGATGACAGTTTCCAAATGTAAATCCAGTTACCACCACTACTATCTCCTATCCTCCTATGCACATTAAAATCCAAAAACCTTTAAGTCAGAAAGGGGAAAGGTCTTAAAAATCTTTCCTCCTTTTACTCCTTTTTTCTTTTTCCTCTTGTGTACCATAAGTTTGCTGATAATGCCAAATGGCATCAACAAGTATGTAGAGTTTAAAACTATTTTTGGCTATCAGGATAAAATGCTCCCTTTGATTAACAATCTTTTGGCTACCATTGCTTACTATTTTAGGTTGAATTCTCTTACCCACCCCTGATTCCAGGAGATGGACATGACAGCCACACTTTACCTGAAGAATGGAAGTATTTGCCCTTCCTTGCCTTACCAGATGGCGCACACAACTACCAGGAAGGTATGTAAACAATGGAGCAATTACTAGGTGCCCCCCCTTTTTTTTCTTTTTAATTTACCAAGACATCTTAGATTCTAAATATTTTGGTAAATGAAAGGCCTTTGGCTTCTTGTAACTATTTATAAAACACGTGTTTGTTTGGAGATGACTAGTCAGACACTGGAAGATTTCCAGAGGAGTGCTGGGCTTTATGTTGGTAATGTTGTTGAGCATTGGCCACTCTTTTGCCAGGAGCACTGGCTAAATTAAGTATTTGGCCAGATTAGGACATCTGTTACTGGTAGCACTTTTCTGCATTTATTCTTGAGACTCCTCTTGGAGGGAAGCTACAGGGCTTACCTATGCTAGCTACTGTTTGGGGCTCTAGCTGCAAACTTAACTAGCTTAGTACACCTGTGCCCACCTGGGATTGCTTCTCCACCCCTAGAGCCACTGCTATTGCAGTGCTCTGCTTAAAGTTGCGTGTAAGGGGCGCCTGGCTGGCTCATTTGGTAGAGCTTGCGACTCAATCTTGGGGTTGTAAATCTGAGCCCCATGTCGGGTGTAGAGATTACCTAAAAGTAAAATCTTAAAAAAATAAAATATAAAAGTTTATGTGTCAGAGAAGCATGTTAACATCCTCAGAGAAAGCAACACTGTGAGGTTAGTACTGAGTCTCCTACCTATAAATGCATGTTTTGACTGGCTTAACAAAGGACTAAGTTTTATCATGGCATTAGGGGCTCTACCAAAACACCAGATTAAACTTGGTTTAATTACTTACTTTCCTAATATTTAATAATTTTCATATGAAATGAAACAAAATGTTACTATGCAGTTTAACATAAAATCTAAATACATTATTTTTAAACTTACAAATATTTTGGTGTACTTTTTTATCATGAAAGTTTTTAAATAGAAAAAAAGTTTGAAAAAATAGTATAGCAAATATTCCACAAGTTTTCTTTATGTGTGTGTACAGTTTTGCCCTACTATCTGAAAGTCTAACACCATGTTGCAGACATCACGACACTTTACTTCTAAATACTTCAGTATGCACTCCTAAGAATAAGATCATTCCTCAGGATAACTTCCAGTACCATTATCACAGCTAAGAGATTTAACAGTAATTCGAGAATATCATCTAAGATCTAATCCATGTTCAAATTTCCCCAGTTATTCCAAGAATTTCTTGGATCCATCCAAGATTCATGAGTGGCCTTTCATTTTTATGATTCTCTTTCTTTTAATCTGGAATAAAGTATTTTCTGGGATAAGTGACTGTAGTTTCAACTTAATCTATTATTCAGCCTCCTGGTCTTTTGAGAATGCCTGAATGAATGTACACAATAAGGCAGTGAGAGGGATGCTAAGAAACCAGTGGTTGCAATGCTAGGTGTTAAGTATGACATGGGTTCCTCGTTACATCATCATTTTTGTTTTAATTAACTGCATATAATAACTTCAATTTACATTATTAATAAGGGGAATTCACTTTGGTATTTACATTTTTCTGTGTGTCTCTTAGATACTGTATTTTTTCACTTGCCACCCAGAAATGGAAATGGAGCTACAGTATATGGTATCTCCTGCTATCGGCAAATTGAAGCCAAGGTATGGTAGTACAGTGAACAACAAAAACACTGAGAGTGTTTTTAAAATTTTTATAAACAATTTGAAGTTGTTTTCCCAGTAGTACCAGTTTATTCACATGAATGTTTTTGTAAGTTGACATGGTAAGTATAATTGCCATAAAATAGTTTGTCCATTTTTTTTTTTAATGTTTATTTTTGAGAGAGAGCGCATGAGCGGAGGAGGGGCAGAGAGAAAGAGAGAGGGACAGAGGATCCATAGTGGGCTCTGTGCTCACAGTGGAGAGCCCAATGCAGGGCTGGAACTCACAAACCATGAGATCATGATCTGAGCCCAAGTCAGGTGCTTAACCGACTGAGCCACCCAGGCATCCATTGTCTCTAGATAGTTGTACCTAAATTATCCATGTCTTCAGAATGCTGTATTTAAATTTTACAGTGTCCTTGAATTTTCTTTTTCTAATGTTTGGTATGTAATTTAGAAAAATTAAGTGATAATGTGTGTTGTATTTTAAGCAGCTGTTTAGAATTAGTGGAAAGTACTTGTAGCTTTGAAATACTTGCATGTTAATTATGTACAACTCAGATTTTGTTAATTCTTAAATTACCTGCCAGCTTAATGTCTGAATTACTATAATAGCTCTAATTAATACAAATAAGCCAAGATGGGTAGCTTCCCCTTTCATGGTTTGATTCTGAGCAACACTCTTTTGTGTCTCACCAGTTTTTTGTGGTGAAGATACTCTGTGAGTAAAAATCTCTTGCCTTTCGTTAGATCATTAATACTCTAGTGTTTCTAGTAGAAACACTAGACTTTGGCTGCACATTGGAGTCACCTGGGGACCTCTAAATACTACAGATGACTGGGTCCCAACCCCAGAGATTCTGGTTTAATGTTCTGGTTATCAGGTGATTGCAAACCTCCGCAGTGTTTTTTAACGGGAGTTACCTGGAGACCCTTTTTTTTTTTTTTTAAATACACAGCTGGCCTTTCCTTCTACTAAATTAGAATATCTGAGAGTAAGCTTAGGTAACTCTAAGTTTTAAAAGGCTTCCTCAGGGAATAATTAAGTTAGTAAATCTTCTAAAATTTTCTTTAGCTTTTTATAATGACCATTTCAAACATGCAGATAAATGAAAAGAATTGTACAATGAACACCTGTATACCCACCATCTAGAGTGAACAGTAGTCAGCATTCTACCACATTTGCTTAGTGTGTGTCTGCTTTTTTCCCTGAACCATTTAGAAATAAATTGCAGGTGTAAATTCCACCATACCCAAAGTTGTTAACTACTGTGAAATAGTCCTTCATGTACAGGGCCTGAAATATAGGACACACCCAGTAAATACCTATGGAATGAATAACTGAATTTAAAGGTAAACCTGAGGGTAAGAGTTAGCTTGGTAGTTTTGTGCATTTGATTGCCTCATATACTATTACCCTTAATCTATGTTTACATGAGATGAAATGAATTGCTCCCCTTTCTTGGAGACTGTCCCTTTTACTCTAGTCCCCTATAGATTGCGCAGACACAAGTAAGATTCTTTCCTCAAACTGTCGACATTAACAACAGTTCTCATGCTTCACATAGCCTTTAAATGGCATTTCATACCATCTGTCTCCCTTACCCATTGGGTCTGATCCACTCCACAGTATATTGGCATTGCCCATTTCTCTTAATATTTCTATCCTCACCTGATAACAGATATCAGAAGGACCTAGAGCCTAGGAGAAAAACTGATTCCCTTTGACTGAGGGTGAGACCTGACAGATGAATCCAGTCAAGGCAGAGAGGTAGAAAACAGATTGAGGGAAGGCTGTATTCTTGACTTAAAGACTAGTCATCAGTCATAAGTCACTTGAAGACACTGAGGCCCATTGGTCCTCAGGACAGGTGCCAGGAGATGTTAGGCTGTATACCACAAAGGGGAAGAGTAGTTCTTAGTTCACTCACAGAGTTACCTAGAGTTACCTGATGATTAAATCAAGGCTTGTTCTTTACTAGCAGAGAATGTAGACCTCTTACGTGGTTGTTCTCACAGTCATCAAGGCATGAGTTATGGCTCAGGGCTGGGCTATAATACCAGTTTTCCAGTATAATCTAGGCCCTTCTCACCAGAAACAGTAGTCTCGGAGTGCCCATTTTCAAACCAGAACCAAGGACATTTGATTTGAATTATGGGTGTGGCAACTTAAACAAAAAGTATTCTCAGACGGTAAGTTCCTTGAGGGTAGGGATTGTCTCTCACTGTTACATTCTCAGTGCCTACCAGATTCTGGCACATAGTTTCCTGGCTGACTCATTCAATAGATATTTTCAGAGATTCTCAATACATTTAGAATTTAACCAAATGTTAGAATTTTTTTCTATCTCACTGCTATTTTTACATTGAAAGAGAATGATTTTTAAATATTTCTATGAAATATTATTAATAATGACTCTTTGTTTATAATAGGCATTGAAAGTGCGGCAAGCAGATATCACCAGAGAGACGGTTCAGAAAAGTGTCTGTGTTCTAAGCAAGTTGGTAAGAGACCAAATAACTCGTTAATGTGTTTGTTAACCATGGCAGATTTTTAGTTGAGAATAAGGCATTATTAGAATAAGGAGAGATTTATGGACAGTAATAGATTAAAATTCATCAGGGGCCCATTTTTTATTCTTGTGCATCAGCTTTTTCTCTTTGCCTTTCAGCAGTTTTACTCTCATTTGCACCATTACCCACAACTAGATAAGTGGAAGGAAATCTTCTAGATAGGTTTTTGGGAAAGAGGTTGACACTTGCCCAAAATGAAGTAGCTGATATATTTCATTTATCCTTTTTTATTTTGTTTTTAAGACTTTGGATAATACTTTACTAAAACTCAGAATATCATAATCATTCAGATTGTATTGATATAAAAGTATATGATTCTTGCTATGAAAAATTGTAGCCTTAACTTTTTAAATTTTTTTTTTTTTAACGTTTATTTATTTTTGAGAGACAGAGCATGAACAGGGGAGGGGCAGAGATAGGGAGAGACATAGAATCTGAAACAGGCTCCACGCTCTGAGCTGTCAGCACAGAGCCCGACGCGGGGCTCGAACTCATGGACTGTGAGATCATGACCTGAGCCGAAGTCGGAGGCTCAACCGACTGAGCCACCCAGGCGCCCCTTAACTTGCTCTTTAAAACTTAAGATTTTTGAGGAATGGAAATGACATAATTATACAATAGCAATGCTTTACAGTTGTTTCATCCATGTACAAGTTGATCAGATGCAGGTGTATAATTTTAACTTTTTATTTTTAGTAGGAAATGTGTAACACTTCTTATTTTCCATAGTTCCCTATTAAATCGTTTGTAATATTCCATTTTTATTACTAATAGGATATTAACACCTTTACTGGTAACATCAAACGACCAATTCTACATATAAAATATTATCCCCCAAGTCCCTTTTGTGGGGAGAAATCCAGATCTCTATCATGTTAATTATCTTACAGCTATATGATTATTGAATACAATCATTTCTGCATTTAACCTCAATCAAAATGGAGAATATTTCATTTGCCTAGTCACCAAATGTATGTAGGTTTTGTTTCATTATGTCTTCTACATTGTCCAGTTTCTTACATCCACTGACAATTTGAATGTAGTTTGCTTAATATAAGTTGAGATTTGTAAAATAGGATTTATTTTGACTTTTTAGTACTAAGCTTTAAAAAAAATCCTGGATAATAATAATAATATACTGTGAGCCTTAATAATAAGATTTTGAGGATCAGATATTTCTTCCAAGATCTTAGTTTTACATAGAGGGCAAGAATAGACTCCTTAAAAAAAAAAAAAAAAAGGAATGGATGTAAAAGACCCTGATATCAGAAAATTAATAGATTGTACACAGTTTCTAAAATGGTAGCCTGAAAAATAGAATTCAATGAATTACTTTTTTTTTTTAATCGATGAATTACTCTTATACTGGGCCAGATAACCAAAGCATAGGAGTACCAGATGTTAAAGCAAACACATGTTGAAAGGCTTCCTGAGTAATCTTTCTTCAAAGAACAATTATAATAACAATAAATGTCATTTATCAGATGACTATATGTCAGGTATTAATTCAATACCAGACACTTTTTAGATATAATTGTGATTTGAATCCTCATGTCAAAACAGATCTAAGTATTTGTTGCTTTCATTTTACAAAGAAACATGTAGAATAGGGAAAAAAAATGTCTAACTCTCATAGACCATGTAACTACTAAGTGATAAAATTGGGGTGAAGATCCGGGTTTTATCTGTCTTTAAATAAGCATAGGGAATAGGGAGAGCTAGCTTATGCAGAAAGGTTTGATGGTTCATAGTGCATTGTAATCTCTATATAAAAATATAATGACTCTATACTTAGATATTCTGGATGGTAATAATGATATAGTAACAGGGATATTGGTGGTGGGAGGGGACTCTTCCAGTGTTACTTCTATTAACTAATTGTATAATAATTATATACAGCATTGGTCTCTGCATTCTAAGAAGGACATAGAAATCAGAAAACATCTAGAAAATAACATTGAAAATAAAAAGGATGGAAATGGTATAAGAGGGTCTTAAATAGAAGTAAGAATTAAGGAATAATTTTGTTGAAGCATACAAAGGAATATTTTGATAAAGGACACAGACCAGTTGTTCTAAGCCTCCAAAGAAGACAAAAAAGGGAAATGAACTTAAATTTAATCATGAATGTTCAATTAGATATAAGAACCAGCTATTATAAGGATGATTAAATGTCACCACAAACCAGTGTAACTGTAGAATTAAAATGTCATAAATTTTATAATGACTATTTGCAACAACATGGATGGAACTCTATAGAGTATATTATGCTAAGCTAAATTAGAGAAAGACAAATATATGACTTCACTCATGCAGAATTTAAGATGCAAAACAGATGAACATAAGGGAAGGGAAGCAA